GCAAGTCGCTCCTGGTGTTAGAGAATTGGCCATCTGCAAGGACGTTGCCCAGGGGACGCCCAGATGATTTGATGTTTTTATCATCCTTGTGGGAGGCTCCTCTCATGTCCCCGCATGAGGAGCTGGAACTGATAGAGGGAGCTCATCCGCCTTTCCCCAGATTCGAACCTGCGACCTGTCGGTCTTCAGTCCTGCCGGCACAAGGGTGTAACCCACTGCGCCACCGGGGGCTCTTTTAATCGTTTTTTTAAAAACAATTAATAATAATAATAATAATAATAATAATAATAATAATAATAAAGAACCAGGAAAACAGGAAAAATAGGACGGTTTCTGTTCAAGCTGTCCAAGTTGGTGAATATCCTTTAAGTACATTTGCCACTTATGGGCACTGGCACTAGCAAGGGCACTTCCCTCATGCTTCTCGCTGTCCTAATTTTAGTCCTCAAAGTATTACTGGAACAGGAAGGGATGCAGCCATCCGACAGCTGCAACAATGCTATGCCTGCAAACATCAGAATGGGCCTCAACTCAATGAGTAATGACTCTGCTTCCCCAGTGCAGTCAGTCCATGATCTATGGTAGAGTTTGTTATGCAGTTGTGAAGCAATAGAGAAGACAAATGGCAACCAGAGAGAGTCTGAACTGAAAAGAAGCACTGGGAGCCACCGAGTCTTGTTTGTGCGTTGTTGGCGTTGCCATCTAACACCATAGAAAACTACACTGCTGCAGTCACCAGCTATTAACTCTAAACATGCAAAATAAAAACCATTGTGTCTCAGACAATTTTCTTTAAAAAAATGAACAAAAAATGCTAACAATATATATTTTTAAGAGTAAATAATAACCACACAGTTCTGCAACCGTTCTTGCTAAAATGACAACATCAATAAGAATTAAAGTGCTGTACTTGCATATCTTCTACAAGTTAAATATGCTTAGCTCTCCAAAATATGGACTAAACAGGAGTAAACCGTTGTGTACTAGAAATGTGAAAGTTGTGTTTAAAAAGGGTAAATAATAACCACACAGTTCTGTGGGCTAAATACCTCACTTTTCAGTCCTGTTAAGTTTAACTAGAGAATAAAGCAAAATCAAAAGTGGTGTCAAAATGCTTTTTATTAGGGCTGGGCGGTTTCGTTTCGTAATTTCGTAATTCGTTAAAAATTTGTTATTTTTTTTATAACGAAGCGATATTGAACCATTCAGGAGCAACTAAAAAATGAAACGAATTTTTCCAATTCGTTTCGTAATTGTTTTGTTGATTCGTTATTGATTCGTTATTGATTCGTAAATGTTTCGTTATTATTTCCGCATGTCTGGTGCAAGTTTTAGGGTTGCTGTTTGTTTTCTCAGTGAAAAAAAATAATTATCACACCAACAGTCAACAACAGAGGGAGAGGGAAGCTTCAGAAGTTTTTTTAGCGTATTGCGCGATCGCGGCCGCCATTAACGAATCGATTCGTAATCGATTCGTAATTGTTTCGTAATTGTTTTATGATTTCCGAAATTTCGTAAATATCGAACTTTTTTTAAGGAAAATTTCGGAATTCTTTTAAATAACGAAACGCAAAAAACCCCTAAAAACGAATCGAGTTTAGAAACAAATTTTTCCGTGTTTGGACAGCCCTACTTTTTATACCATATTTCTTTCAATAAGGCACAGTGCATTGAATAGGAGATAAAGTAGTTTTTGGCTACTGCTTTACTGATAATAAAATCCGCTTAAATGGGTTTATTGATCAGTGGGGATTAAATGATAAACATCATCAAAACTAAATGGTGGCTTTTCATTTATTTTTGTTGAAGATAGTAAACATGTTTTCCTATAAATATACAGTCGTGTGACAGTGCTGAAGCTATTAAATGTGGAGTACAATAACGAGGTTACTTTAAAATCAATGGCTTCGTCTTTATGACCATTTTGTTACGAACATTGGCATGGGATGTGTGAGGACACTTCCCTGCCCAAGTCAGTTTGGGATGCTCATCAGAGTAGACTTGAAGCCCAGACAATTACGTAATGCTAACGTCTTAAATATCCAAAGTTTACAGTTGGAATAAAGACACGCTGCCAATCACAACAGTTCAAAAGCGCCAATATTTCTTGAGAAACTAAATAAGATTCATTCTGCTCTTAAGTTCTAAAGGCTTTAGCAGCAAACACAATTACACTTCAGGCATGCATCTCACTTGGGTTTGCCTTGTGAATGGTATCAGTTTTGCATCTACCAAAGGCATGGAAATAACAATAAGGGTTGACTTCCCCCTAGTTTTCCTGTTTTGTTTTTTTGCTGTTCTCTTAGGGCTAGTACAGAGTTAAAACTATCTCCTATTAGCCTCTCATTTCTTGGATCAGGCCATAACCGAAAAGATAAGGGGACAAAAAAGAGGAAAAGCGTCTTGACTACACAATGAACTACAATACCAACCCTTTCCTCTTCCCTTATGTACACAGCAATATGTGGAAAATTTGCTTCCTTTTAATGCTCTGAATGAGGTAATTCACTACAACGCTTTGTTGTTATACACCGGGGTCCTCAAACTAAGGCCCGAGGGCGACATACGGCCCTCCAAAGTTATTTACCTGGCCCTCGCTCAGGATCAACCTAAGTCTGAAACAACTTGAAAGCACATAACAACAACAACAACAATCCTATCTCATCAGCCAAAAGCAGGCCCACACTTCCCATTGAAATTCTTAATAAGTTTATATTTGTTAAAATTGTTCTTCATTTCAATTATTGTATTGTTTTTAGGTGTTTTTGCACAACAAATAAACTATGTGCAGTGTGCAAAGGAATTCATTCATGCTTTTTTCAAATTATAATCCGGCCCTCCAACAGTTTGAGGGACTGTGACCTGGCCACCTGTTTAAAAAGTTTGAAGACCCCTGTTATACACTCTATTGGAATTAATGTTAGGCAACTTACTTTCCCCAACACAACCCATCACCTCCACAGAAAACAAATCCTTTCCAACACACCTATGGGGCCGCTTTCCCATGGTTTCATCTCACATGGGTACAAGATGTAGGTGAATATCATAATGACTTTGAGATTTCTGATTGTTTGGCTGTTTCTTCCATCATCACTACTGAAATCCCACTTTCATTTATAGGAGGAAGACATGCAATGCTCCCTCCACTGCAATATTTATGCATACATCATGGCCTTGTAAGATAGAATCACACGGAAATGCCTCCTTGATGGCTTGGGCACATGCAAAATTGTATGCACCACAAGGAAGGCCAGTTCACACCCACAGCCAGGCATGTAACCGGGGGAGGGGGTGTCTTGGGGGGCTTCACCCCCCCCCCCGAAATTCTCATGGTGGTCCGCGAGAAGGCCTTACTGGTGCATTATTTAAACTTATGTTTATTCATATCATGATCTGATCACCATACTAAAAATATCCCATATGCATGGGGGTATTGGGGTAACAATACAAAAGGTTTGCTAGGGTAGACCCTCTTTCGCTCAGATTCAGCCCCCCACTCCGAATCAAACTCAGCTCCCCCCGAAACAACATCCTGGCTACGGGCCTGCCCACAGCAGTTGTGAGAACAATTTCCCTGGGATTATCATCTTTTGTTTTGATAATGTGGGTATGAAGAACTAGGTATGAGGAAACAATTGCATGATGATTACAAATGCTTCCAAGTTAGGAAAGATTGCACCAAATCCACCTGTGAGGAAAAGCTACACAACTGGTCCTGACAATATGGTTTCCCGATTTAAAGATGAAAATGATATTGTCAGGACCAATAGTGTGGGTTTATCCTTATATAAAGACAAAAGACGCAGAATGCCAGAGTGTTTTGAACTCTGATAACACAGATATCTATAAATCAGTTGTAAATAAGCAATTGTCCTATTTAAATAGGCTTTAACATAGGTACAGGTTTAAGTAACTTCAATAATGAAACACACAAAATATATACGGTTTACAAATAATTTCATAGGACATATACATCAATGAATATATTAAGCTTAAAGGCAGTTCACATTGTGTTTAGAGCACTTGAGAATATGTCCATAATGTTACAACAAAAGTTCACGTTGTATTCCACAAACTTGAGCGTATCAAGACTGGAAACAGTTCGTGGTGCTTTCAGCCAACTCGGGAGTCCACAACAAGGTTCCCCGGGTGCTTTGTGTCCTTGTTTCAAGAACCAAATTCATACAACGTGAACTTTTGTTGTAACATTATGGACATATTCTCAAGTGCTCTAAACACAATGTGAACTGCCTTTAAGTTTAATATATTCATTGATGTATATGTCCTATGAAATTATTTGTAAACTGTATATCTTTTGTGTATTTCACTATTGAAGTTACTTAAACCTCTACCTATGTTGAAGCCTATTTAAATAGGACAATTGCTTATTTACAACAGTTTTGAACTCTGGACTATGACTCGAGAGACCAGGTTTAGATTCCCTGCACAGCCATGGAAACTCACTGGTGACTTTAGGCGAGTCACATGCTCTCAATCCCAGATAACCCTATGATACATTCACCGGAGGGCACTATCATTCAGAAATTACTTGAAGGCACACAACATGAATATAAATATGTCTAGGGTGACCTAGAACTGTATCTACCACAAGGAAGCAGTTTCCTCACCAATGTGGAGAAATGTGAGCAAGCTCTTGTGTCTGCATTCACATCTTGATTGCGTAAAGTGTTGGAGTTGCTTTCAGTTAATTTTATGTGTTCTATATAAACATACACAATATCCAGTATTAAGAAGAAAAATTATGACATGAATAACAGGAAATAATACTACCGTATTTTGTGAGGAATACTTAATGGACCTGTTGTTATACATTATTACTGTAAAACGTATGCCACACCTAATATTTTTTCACACTTTTGTGTTATATCATCGTTCTGAAAGAGGTCTATATTTCTCATCTATCAGTGCTCGGAAGCCTGCCCTGGTGAACACACTAAAATATATTAATTATTTATAATGTCATGCTATACTTTTAGAAATGATTTTATCCTTTCTTGTTGTTTATTTTGCTCAAACATTTGCAGTAATAGTTCACTGACAGGTTTTAAATATTCATTCACTTTTGTATTAGATATACAAGAATGAGATTTCCACATATGAAAGCGACCAAAATCAATGTCAGAAGTTTTCTTAATTCACCAGCCCACCACGAGAAAGCAATTGTTATCTATATTTCATCTGTTGAACCATCCACTAAATCTTTTCCACTTGTTAGCTCCTTGTTCTTTAGACGTTGATGGCATGGGCATGCTTCTTGCATAGGGGCTTATCCTTCTTGGAATAAAATGGCTGACCTTCCAAATTCACATGGCACACCTGGAAGTTAAGAATATGTGAAAGTTAAGTGCAATCAAAGGTGGTAAGAATATAATTTGCTAGGTGGGTTGAAGCAGAGAGATTAACAAACATTGGTTGTGCTTTACACCACAAGCAGAAAGAAATCGGGTAAACAAGACACAATGACTTCCATAACCCAAGGGCTACAGAATTTCAATCACTTGCTTGGCATAAACAGGTGGCTGCATCAAATGAAGTCTTCTTCTTCTTATTATTATTATTATTATTATTATTATTATTAACTTTATTTATACCCCGCTAACATCTCCCGAAGGACTCGGTGCAGCTTACAAAAGGCCAAGGCCCTCAATAAAACAACAGCATAACAATACAACAATAAAACTCATAAAGCAAAACAATAAACATTAAAGCAATAACAATAAACATTAGAACAAAACACCACGACACATTTAAAACTAAGGCCGGGCCAAATGTAATGATTTTAAAAGTGCTGGACATGACAGGTGAAATGTAAGGATCTTAGGGTAGGTGTGATGTGCAGACAATCTTAAATCTCTAGTAAAGTGTGTTTGGGACATGATGCTGGGAGTTTCTTATTCTGGAAAGGCACACTGGAACAGCCAGGTCTTCAAACTCTTCCTAAAGACTGCCAACGTTGGGGCTTGTCTGATGTCCTTGGGGAGAGAGTTCCAGAGTCGGGGGGCTACCACAGAGAAGGCCCTGTCCCTCGTCCTCACCAACTGTGCTTGCGACGCAGGTGGGATCGTGAGCAGGGCCTCTCCAGATGATCGGAGAGATCATGTGGGTTCATATACGGAGAAGCGGTCACGCACGTAGGCAGGTCCCAAACCGTTTAGGGCTTTGTAGGTAAGCACCTGCACCTTGAATTGGGCCCAGAAAATGAACGGCAGCCAGTGGAGCTCCTTAAACAGGAGGGTTGACCTCTCTCTGTAAGGAGCACCAGTTAACAACCTGGCCGCCGCCCGTTGCACCAGTTGGAATTTCTGGGGAATTTCTTATCACTACTACCTATAATGCTGCAAACTCCACACATTTTTTATTCCATCTCCTCTTACTTTGGATTCTGGGCCCACCTACCATCAGTTACAGCCTCCAATGACATTTCTCATGGGTCAATCACCCCTTATAGGAACAAAAAAAGTCTCTCTGCCCTTGAGGAACAGGATGGAAGTCATCTCTGCAATGCAAGAGATGACCAACATCCTTGTCTCAACCCTACAATCACTGTATAATAGACATCTGTAATAGCTGGGTTCCATGTACAGTTTTCAGGTCTGTGGTTGCCAACTTAGAAGCATAAGAAAGTAAAGGAGAGGAGACTAGAGATTTCCATTTTGGGGGGGGGGGAAGAGAATGAGATTTCTTTTTGGCCACCCATAAACCCCCAGAGTGCATAATAATAATAATAATAATAATAATAATAATAATAATAATAATAATAAAATCATAGAGTTGGAAAAGACCTCATGGGCAATCAAATCCAACCCCCTGCCAAGAAGCAGGAATATTACATTCAAATCACCCCTGACCGATGGCCATCCAGCCTCTGTTTAAAAGCTTCCAAAGAAGGAGCCTCCACCACACTCTGGGGCAGAGAGTTCCACTGCTGAACGGCTCCCACAGTCAGGAAGTTCTTCCTCATGTTCAGATGGAATCTCCTTTCTTGTAGTTTGAAGCCATTGTTCCATTGCGTCCTAGTCTCCAGGGAAGCAGAAAACAAGCTTGCTCCCTCCTCCCTGTGACTTCCTCTCCATATTTATACATGGCTATCATGTCTCCTCTCAGCTTTCTCTTCTTTAGGTTAAACTTGCCCAGCTCTTTAAGCCACTTCCCACAGGGCTTGTTCTCCAGACCCTTGATTTTTTTAGTCGCCCTTTATTTAATAAAACTTAGTTGTCCTTTATTTAATAAAACTTTATTTAATACCCCACCACCATCTCCCCAACGGGGACTTGGGGCGGCTTACGTGAGACCAAGCCCAACAGCATTACAATAAAACCAAAACACACAACAACACAGTGAAACACATAAAACAGATGAATACAGTAAACAATAAAAATACAACAAAATCATTCACAAGCACAGTGACAATGAGCGGTCTGCACGTGCAAGGTAAAATACTAAAAATTCAGGGTGACATAGGAATGGGGCAGATTATTTGTGATGGATGAGCTCATAAAGGAATGGGGTCATAAAAATAGGCCTTCATGCAAGTAGGGATGGGTGGAAAAAAACTTTGAGGGGGAGCAATTGTATGGTTGTATGGCTACTCTCCAAATGCGCAACGGAAAAGACAGTTTTTGAGATCCCTCTTGAACTTTTCTAAGGAGGGGGCCAGGCATGTAGCCGGGGAGGGGGGGGGGGGCTTGAGGGCCCCCCCAAATTCTCATGAATTCTCGCGAAAAGGCCTTACTGGTGCATTATTTAAACTGTTATGTTTATTCATATCATGATCTGATCACCATACTCAATATATCCCATATGCATGGGGGTATTGGGGTAATGATACAAAAGGTTTGCTAGGGTAGACCCTCTTTCACTCAGACTCAGCCCCCCCGAAACTCACCCCCCCCGAAACCCCCCCTGAAAAAAATTCAGCCCCCCCCCCGAAACGAAATCCTGGCTACGGGCCTGGCAGGCGCTTGCCTAATCTCACCAGGCAATGAGTTCCAGAGTTGGGGGGCCACAGAGGAGAAGGCTCTCTCTCTTGTACCCACAAGTCGGGCCTTGGTGATAAAGAGTGGGCAAAAGGAGGGCCTCCCCCGAAGATCGAAGAGCTCGGGCTGGTTCATGGAGAGAGATCCGGTCTTCTCAGCAACATCACATTATCATGAAGAGTTAAAGACAAAACATGTAGTGGATATAAGCAACCACATCATGGGGGAAAAGGGGGTCCATGAAGAAATGCTTTGGGTTTGTTACTCATAAAGTGCTTTTGATTGAGGAACACTCCCTCCTCTGCCTTCAGTTCATCTGCCACACAGAACGTGAAAACAACTAGCACACGAGGGAGGATATTATCATTGAATAGTGGTTCTCAATCTTTGGTTTTATCAATGTTTGTTACTTTAGGTCTCAGAATCTCCGTGTGATGATTGTATTGTCTTGAACCTCTGGGAACAGAAGTCCAAATCACACGGAGAACCAAAGCATTGGCCTGGAATTCTTATTGTCATGGTAGCTTTCTATGATCAGGGTTTTCCCTTCAAATGAATCTCTTTTAAGAGAGAAAGCAGCTTATAAAGCAGGCATGGGCAAACCTTAATCCTCCAGGTGTTTTGGACATCAACTCCCGCAATTCCTAAAAGCAAGTAAGTTGGCTGGGGTTTCTGGAAAGTGAAGTCCAAAATATCTGGAGGGCCAAAGTTTGCCCATGCCTGTTATCTATATAAATAAAAATGCAATGTTCGTTTGTGGACTTAACATAACTCAGAAACCACTGGACGAATTGGCACCAAATTTGGACACAAGACACCTAACAACCCAATATATGTCCTTCACAAAAAAAATTGATTTTGTCATTTGGGAGTTGTAGTTGCTGGGATTTATAGTTCACCTACAATCAAAGAGCATTCTGAACTCCACCAAGGATGGAATTGAACCATACTTGGCACACAGAACTCCCATGACCAACAGAAAAACTGGAAGGATTTGGTGGACACTGATCTTGTGTTTTGGAGTTATAGTTCAGCTACATCCAGAAAGCACTGCAGACCCAATAAATGATGGATTTGAACCAAACTAGGCATGGATACTCAGTATGCCCAAATGTGAACACTGGTGGAGTTTGGGGAAACTAGATCTTGACATTTGGAAGCTATAGTTGCTGGGATTTATAGTTCACCTACAATCAAGAGCATTCTACCCCACCAATGATAGAATTGGGCCAAACTCTCACACACAACCCCCATGTGGGCCACAGCAATGCGTGGCAGGGGACGTCTAGCAATCATCATAATAATCAAGCTTGAGGAGACCCCAAAGGCCATCGAGTCCAACCCCATGATACCCTGCGGGAAATCAAAGCATCCCCGACAGATGACAACCCAGCCTCTGATTCATAATGATGATAGTAATCTTCTTCTATCTATCTATCTATCTATCTATCTATCTATCTATCTATCTATAAATGTAATATTCGTTTGTAGGATTAACAGAACCCAAAAACCATTGGTGAAATTGACACCAAATTTGGATACAAGACACCTATCAGGCCAATGTATGTCCTTCACTCAAAAAACACTGAAAAACACAGCAGAAGGGACTTAAAAAGCCTCTAAATCTAAATGAGGAAAACCTAAATGACAATACAGAAAAAGGGAAGAAAGAGGGAGAGAAGGGGAGAAAAAAAAGAAAAAAAGAGGGAGGGAAGGAAGGGAAGAAAGAAAGAAAGAAAGAAAGAAAGAAAGAAAGGGAGAAGGAAGCATGGAAGCAAAGAGAGAAGGAAGGAAAGAGGTAGAGAAGGAAGAAAGGAGAGAAAGAGGAAGGGAAAGAAAAAGGGAAGAGGAAATTAGAGAAGGAAGAAAGGAGAGAAGGAAAGAAAAAGGGAAAGAAGGAAGGAAAAAGGGAGTGAAGGAAGGAGGGAAAGAAGGAAAGGGAGGGAAAGAAAGAAGAAGGAAGAAAGAGAGACACAGAAGAGAAAAAAAGAGGGAAGGAAGGAAAGAGATAGAAAGGAAGGAAGAAGGAGAAGGAAAAGAGAAGGAGAAGGAAGGAAAGAGGGTGAAGGAAGGAGGGAAAGAAGGAGAGAAAGAGGGAAGATTGGCCACAGCAACGCGTGGCGGGTACAGCTAGTAAAGAATAACAACAGCAGCCACAAAGCATTCAAACATGGGGACTTTTGGAGTCAAGAAAGCTACCATCCAGCTCATTTGCAAGTTTAAGAAAGTCCAAATCTGATCCAATAAAAAAACATACAGCACAAATGAAGCAGGTATCATGCCAGGTGTGTCCAAGGGCTTCAATGAACTTATCTCCTGCTTCAACAGGGAAATCACATCCATGACATTTGGTGCTGAACAAGGCAACATAGTCTAGAAGAAGAAGAAGAAGAAAAGAAATATAAAATTAATATGGAATATAAGCAGTCTTAACTCTTCTCCAGTACACAGAGCTACCCGGGGTTTAATTTTTATTGCAATTCTCTTTACTGCCTTGTGAACAATTTTGAAATAGCTTTTGGGATGTACTCATTTCATTATAATAACCCACAGATTTGGGTGCTGGAACTGTGTAGATTGGGATCAGAATGAAATTTCCATGTTTCCATAATGGTTATTTGGAGAAGTTAGGCCAACTGGTATATTTTATTTAACATGGCTCCCGTGATAGTTATGAATATAAACTCAGACTGAAATAATGTGCAAAAATACATATATAAATTGAAAAATAAAATAATAAAAATTGTTTTTCTGACATTAAGAAATCCTGATGAGGAAAATCCTAGACCAGCCAGAATCTTCATATACAAAATTTTATTCTGCTAGGAAAATGCACATTATTTTTTTTGTATGCAGAAAATTTTGTTTTCTATGCTGAAAACAAATTCTCCCCCCAGTATTTTTAGTGCAAAAACAAGTGTTTTTGTGTAGAAAAAAGGATTTTTTGTTGTGTAAAATAACATTTTATGCATAAAATGCTACTAGCTTCTCTATCAAATTCCTCATGCATCATTTGAGATTTGAATAAGTTCTGAACTATGAATATTCTTCCAAAACTATGCAGTTTTCAATTAGTTTCTCCCAGTAATGAGAAAAAATGTAAAATTATTCATTGTTGTCAGAAAGAACAAACTGTTGGGATTCAGCCTGTGATTGAATCTGAGTCTGTGCTTGAACCTGTGATTGTGTTTCAGTCTCCTGTGTCTGATGTAGGTAATGAGGAGGGAAGCCAGTCCCCTGTTGCTTCTGCTGTGGGGGATGCTGGGACTGACTCTGAGGTGCAAGATGGAGACACTTTGGTCAATGAGTTTCATGCAGACACTGACAGAGAGGTTTCGGTGCAAAGGGCAGATTCTCATGAGAATGTTTCTGTCAGGCCTTGGGAGAAAGGTTTACTCCCTCCGTCTGTGAGCTCTCCAGATTCTAGTTTGGAAAACAATCTTGCACCTGGTAAAGTTAATGAGGAGTCAGATAAGCAGAGTCAGTGGCTGGAGATTAGCCAGAATCGACAAGAGGCCCAATGTTTACATAGATCCGAAAGAATTCGTCAATTAAAGTCAAAGACTGGGGGAAACAAAACCAGTTTTTGGGATTTAAGGTTTGTCTGTAGAAAATCTTGTCAGATCAGGCATCATTTGGAAACCAAGTTCTTGTGCCATGGAAGTCTTGTTCAAGGGATCTTGTTTCTGTGGATTTTTTTTAGCCTTTTGGATTGTCTATGTATCCTGCTTGATTCCTGTCTGAATTAATGCTGTCTTGGATTGCCTGTATTTCTTGTGTGGGCATTGCTTTGGGTTACTACTGTTTATGGACTAATACTTTTTGGAACCTTCTGATTTTCTTACAAGCATTTATTTCTTCTGGCTATTTATTAAGCTTTAATAAAAGAAGATTTGATTCTTCACTCTTCGTGTGGTGTGTTTTAAGTCAGAGGGCTTCTTCTGGACCTGGAGTGCAATACAAACTTTACAGAGATTTACACTGGGCATAATTTTAAAACAAAACAAAACAAGATGATTTACCATCTGCAAAGAATTGGTGGGAATATGGCTCTGAAAAGGTTGTTGAAAATAAGGACACAAATTTCCAATGGGACTTTAAGGACCTTATCAAAAAGGCTACTGGTAATCATCATCACAGATCCTGGGGAATCTGGCTGTATCTATCAGGGGGCATGGTGAACCCATTGCTCTACACCCCGTATCACTGGCTTACTATCATGCTGATCTCACAGGGGGGAGCATCAACTGCACAGCTTCCCCCCATTGCTTCTGGTGCAACACGGGAAGCCTCCCATGTTGCTGCTGTGGTGGTGTACACCAGTTCCACTAAAGTTTGCTCACACAGCCCCGGGAGCAGTTCCTCTGTATCGTGGAATGGGAGTTGGTGGGCTCCGTGGGTAAACTATGGATGAACAAGTGTATGTTGACAAAGTAAGGCCTGTCTGATGAGGTCATAAGATTCAAAATGGCAAACCACTAGAACAGTGGTTCTCAAACTTCCTACTGCCATGACCCCTTAATACAGTCCCTCATGTTGTGGTGACCCCCAACTATAACACTGTTTTTGTTGCTACTTCATAACAGTCATTTTACTACTGGTATAAATCATAATGTAAATATCAGATATGAAAGATGTATTTTCATTCACTGGACCAAACTGGGCACAAATACCCAATGCACCAACATGTAAATGCTACTGGGGTTGGAGGAGGATTGATTTTGTAATTTAGGAGTTGTAGTTGCTGGGATTTATAGTTCACCTACAATCAAAGAGCATTCTGAACTCCATCAAGGATGGAATTCAACCAAACATGGCATACAGGACTTCCATGACCAACAGAACACACTGGATGAGTTTGGTGGGCATGACCTTGAGTTTGGGAGTTGTAGTTCACCTACATCCAGAGAGCACTGTGGACTCACACAATGGTGGATCTGGACCAAACTTGGCACAAATACTCAATATGTGCAAATGTGAACACTGGTGGAGTCTGGGGAAAATAGAACTTGACTTTTGGGAGTTGTAGTTGCTGGGATTTATAGTTCACTACAATCAAAGAACATTCTGAACTCCACCAACGATAGAATTGGCTCAAAATTCCTACATGGAATCCCCATGACAATCAGAAAATACTGTATTTTCTGATGGTCTTTGGCGACCCCTCTGACACCCCTTCACGACCCCTTCAGGGGTCCCAACCCTCAGGTTGAGAAACACTGCAGTAGAACATAAGAATCTAAACATAACTAATTGTGAAAAAGAAATTCTGGGTTATAGATTTGACAATCCTGAGGGACAAGCGAATCTAAGAGAGGGGGAAAGAGCAGGAAATATCAAGACCTACAAAAACCTCAACTAACAATAGTATTAATAGCAATGATAACCATTTTCCCTGCCTTCTCCCCAAAACTAGGACTCAAGGTCTGCCTGGATTCCCATTAAGTGAAGTCTGGTTACAACAGAAATTACCAAAGGGAAAAAAGAAAATAAAGCAAACTGTGGTTTTGTTTTTAAAGTCAGGCTATGACAGAAAACTGGCTGAGTGCAAAGTGGCTCCATTTCACATTTGCTCCAAGGTGGGCGCAAGTTAAAATTGGATAGTCAGTTGAGAAAATCGGCACCAGGCCAATTCGGGCAACCAACTTCTTTCTTGCCCGCCAAGAGCAACAGTCCATGAGTACACCGAGAAACATATTTCAAGCAGGTTTCAGCAGCGTTACTGTGTGCAATACCTTTCTCGCAGTAGGGCTCACCATCCTCCATGTGGAAAAGGCTATTCCCAAAGGGCTTCCTGCAGGCAGCACAGACAAAGCAAGTTGTGTGCCAAGTCTGCCTCAGGGCATGCATCACTTCCTGAAAGGCAAACAGAGCAGATGTCTCTTGCACTGCCGAAACACATTTCACTGGGAGAGAAAAACAGACCAAAGGCCAGGCAGTGAAGGGTGGAACGCTATGAACTGCTTCAACCAGACGGGAGAAACTTTGGGCTGAAAGGGGAATGTATTTAACTCTTCCCTTGCCCAATTAGTTTGTCCTTTGAGTCTGCCTTACTATGGCTTATTTATTTATTTAATTTATAATTCAAACTTATATGCTGCCACTCCCCTGGGGCTCGGAGCGGCTTACAAAAACAGGTTAAAATCGAACACAATTTAAAAACAATTTAAAACAATTTAAAAACAATCAATCAGAGATCAAAGGCCTGTCGAAACAGATATGTCTTACATGCCCTGCGGAAAGCTGATAAGTCCCGCAAGGCACGGACTTCAGGTGGCAGAGTATTCCAGAGTGATGGTGCCACTGCTGTAAAGGCTCTGCGTCTGGTTGCTGTTAGACACAAGGTCTTGACACTGGGAATTTCCAATAGATCTTGGTCCTCAGAATGGAGGGATCTCTGGGGTTGGTAGGGGGTGAGGCGGTCCCTCAGGTACATCGGCCCCAGACCATGCAAGGCCTTAAAGGTGAGTACCATCACTTTGAAAGTGATCCGGTGCTCAATTGGTAACCAATGCAGCTGTAGTAAGATTGGTGTTATGTGGCATCTCATCGGAATTCCCGCAAGAAGCCGAGCAGCTGCATTTTGTACCAACTTGAGCTTCCGGATCACCGACAGAGGAAGGCCAATGTAGAGGGCGTTACAGTAGTCCAGTCTTGAGATGACCGTAGCCTGGATCACCATAGCTAGGTCGTCCCTGGACAGGTAGGGGGCCAGCCGTCTAGCCTGCCGCAGATGAAAAAAGGCAGTTCTGCTAACGGCGGAGACCTGGGCCTCCATTGTCAGCAGAGGGTCCAAAAGGACTCCCAGACTCTTTACCAATGATGACAGCCATAGAGCCTCACCATCCAGGGTAGGCAGCTGGATATCCCCACTTCCCAGTTGACCCAGCCATAGGATCTCCGTCTTTGCTGGATTCACCCTCAACCTGCTGGCTTGTAGTGTGTCTGGTAAAAAATGAGAGCATTGACTTCTCCAAAAAAGTTATTGCCCCCCCCCCATTTTTTCCTTACTTAATTTTTATTAAATTTTCAAGAAAACACAACTTCAATCCTCATAACTGAAAATAAGAATTAAAAAACACAGACTAATACAGTAAAACAAATAAAGCAGTACATTGACTTAAGAGCTTAATTTGTTTTGTGACTGAGCTCTTAACTCAAAATGTTCTGAACTCAAAGCAATTTTCCCCATTCCCATTCCCGAAACCACCCCAATTATTTGTGTTACGTGTTTTTAAATAAGAAAATGTACATTATAAATAACAAATAATGTATAAATGCACATTCACATGGAACAATAAAAAAGATCAACTTTAAAATGGTAGAAGCAGTAAATTGTGGCAAAGAAGAACAAAGTGAAGAGGATGTGTTCTGTTGCATGCTGGGCCTGTAAAGAATTTCCTTTAGAACAGGACGTGCAACCTTTGCCCAGCGGGAAGCCAGGGGGCCCAAAGAGAAGTTCTCAGAGGTTTTCCACCACAAATGATCTTTAGATGGCTTGTGAAGTATAACAAAGTCCTTTATTAATGAACAATCAAACAGAAACTTTTCTTGTCTTCAATAAAGTTAAACAAATGCTTCCAGGCTTTTATGCAACTGGTGGCTTCCTAATCTTGCCCACGAAGGACAGGCAACTGTCTTCAATAACTTCTTCTTTACTTTAAAGGAAAATCCCCTTTTTAACTTCTCCCAGGCTGACTGTAATCTAACCCTTACTGATGTGGGTTCCGCTACCGGGTCGAACTGCGTCTCGAAGCACCGAGTGGACCTACCAGCTGGAGTTCTTTGGTCTTCCAAACTGTTTACCCTCTGAAATTCTTCAAAGCTTTAGGGCTGTTTCCCTGGAAATCTTTAGAATCTTTGGAGGCTCTTAAGACTGTTCTCCCCCGGAAAGTCTTAAGGGTTGAAGCTTTTGTACAGGGGAAGCTTGCACACATCCTGTACATTAGCTTTCCTTGCTGAGACTAACTAAAAATGGCTCCCTTCCCTTCCCAATTGCCCTAAGCAAGGGGCGGGACCAAAACTTAACGATGATGGATGCCCTACGACTGCAACCAAAGGAAGCCACCTTTCTGCAGAACCCCTGAAACCCTGGGCTGCAAGCAAACACTCAATACAAAGCAAATAAATTTGGAGCTCCTGGTACAGCCATACCAGCACAGTCATCACTTTCTTCATACTCCCTCTCTCTCTTGCCTCCCTCCCTCTCTTACTTTCTCCCTTTCTCTCTTTTCATGAAGGCAAATATACCAGGAATAAAAATCACACAAAATCAACTAACTCAAAGTGGACAAGAGCAAAGCAGACAGCTATCTTCCAAATCTGACAAGAGCACAAGACATGGAAGCTACTCTCTTAAAGCCCTAAAGCCTTGTACTCTTGCACTAGCACTCCCTCTGGCGCTAAGTCTTAACTTAAAATGCTGCTCTTATGTTAAAGTGAAACCAGGATTTAACTGAAGCTCTTAAGTAAAAATTCTCTTAAGTTAGGACACTCTTAAGTAGAGGTTTCACTGTACTAAAATGATCTCCCAATTCTCCATCTATGTCTGTATTCCCTTGTGTGTGTGTGTGATATACTAGCCATCCCCTGCCATGTGTTGCTGTGGCCCTGTCTGTGTTTATGTGTTTTGTGTGTGTATATATGTGTATATGTGTATATATGTGGTTTTACCCATGTTGTAATGTATTTTTTTTGGCTTTTTAAGTCTCTTCTGCTGTGTTTTTCAGTGTTTTTATGAGTGATGGTCACTCGTTGGCCTGATAGGTGTATTGTGGCCAAATTCGGTGTCAATTCGTCCAGTGGTTTTTGAGTTATGTTAATCCCACGAACTAACATTACATTTTTATTTATATCGATATATAACCTAATTATATATTTTGTCTCTCGTTGTTGTTTTTTCTAGTGTACCAGTGTTTTGTTTTGTTTTTTAAAAAAACACATCTAATTTAACATAGATTTTGCCCCTGAACTTCAAGAGCAAATAAGGACTGCAGGAACTCTGAGTAGTTAATGTACCAGTAGCAGGTCTGGCAATAGCTAATTACATATCAGACAATGGTTTAGAGGCTCAGATGGTTAGATGGGAAATGCTTCCTCTTTCCAGAGTTTTAATTCATACTTATACAGATATTATGTAATCTAATCTGGCATTCTGTCTTTCTCTCCTGCTGTTGAAAGCCCAGAATCATTTGTGTTAGCAGCATGTCTCATTAGTGAGTCACCAGCAACTAGTTTAATTAACTTAAATGAATGTTTGCATAACACCCTGGTTGACGAGCTCAGATGACGGTATGGAACTCATGAAGGAAGCAGGAAGATGTTATTTGCTGGTCTACTGAGGGATCGAGTATAGTAGGCCCCTCACTTTTGTGGGCTCCAGGGCACAGGATCCCCCCAAAAGTGGGGAAACCTCAACTTTTTTAATTGAAGAGAATTCCTTGTTAGATATTTCTAGTTCTCTAGTGTCAACATAGAATTATGCTGGAGGACCTCAAGATTCCTAGATTCTGAGATTCCTAACATGTTAATCAAATCCATGGTTAGATGGGATGAAAACCAAGCGCTTTTCATCTCAAGAACAGACAAGCATCCCGAGCTCTGAGAATCACCTGGGAAGGAATCCCACTGGAGCATTGCAACACACCCAAATACCTGGGAGTCACTCTGGACCGTGCTCTTACCTACAAGAAGCACTGCTGAACATCAAGAAAAAGTGGGCGCTAGAAACAATATAATACAAAAGCTGACTGGCACAACCTGGGGATCACAACCAGACACAGTGAAGACATCTGCCCTTGTGCTAGGCTACTCTGCTGCTGAGTACACATGCCCAGTGTGGAACACATCTCACCACACTAAAACAGTAGATATGGCTCTTAATGAGACATGCCGCATTATCACGGGGTGTCTGCGCCCTACACCACTGGAGAAATTACACTGCTTAGCCGGTATTGCACCACCTGACATCCGGGAAGTAGCAGCCAATAGTGAAAGGACCAAGGCAGAGAAATCTCCAGCTCATCCCCTGTTTGGGTATTAGCCAGCACATCAATGACTTAACTCTAGAAATAGTTTTCTAAGATCTACAGAGACAGTCACTGGAACACCTCAGCAAGCGAGAGTCCAAAAGTGGCAGGCTCAAACCCAGAACCTCAACCAATGGCTGATACCAAATGAGAGACTCCCCCCTGGGCACACAGAAAACTGGGCGACTTGGAAGGCGCTGAACAGACTGCGCTCTGGCACCACAAGATGCAGAGCCAACCTCAAGAAATGGGGCCACAGTGGAATCCACGACATGCGAGTGTGGAGAAGAGCAAACCACTGACCACCTGCTGCAATGCAACCTGAGCCCTGCCACATGCACAATGGAGGACCTTCTTGCAGCAACACCAGAAGCACTCCAAGTGGCCAGATACTGGTCAAAGGAAATTTAATCAACTACTAAACTCGCCAATTTTGTATTTTGTCTGTTTGTTTGTTTTGTTCTGTTAGAAATGTAATACAATTGACTGGTTGCCCTGACACAATAAATAAATAAATAAAATCCATGAGTGATTAAAAGTAAACCTGGGGAACTGATTATAAATAGATTAGAAGCTTTACCAAACAATTCTAAAGATGGCAAAATGATTCTTAGTTGATGAGGACTAGAAAGGATCTGGCCTTTGGCACAGAGAATGCCACAGTTCATCTTTCAACTACTTAAGAGTGAAGTGGGACAATGGCATCTTGAAATGTTAGAGCACAGCTCCAATAATAATAATAATAATAATAATAATAATAATAATAATAATAATAATAATAAACCCTTTATTTATACCCCGCTACCATCTCCCGCAGGACTCGGTGCAGCTTACAAGATTTGATTATCGGCCATGCTGGCACTGGAAGCTACAAATATTGGTCACACTGCACTGGAAGCTACAAGTATCTAGAGGACCTCATCCTTAGTTGAACCCTTGTTTGTAGGCCTTTCTCTGGTAAGATGTGGCTGTATGTATATTCCTATAGTTTTCTGTATTAGCCTTTGCACTTACCCCCATGACCTTGGTATGGCATCTGGCACAGGTTGGGGCAAAGAACTGCTCGTAGCAACGCTCACAGTACACATTGTTCTGTTCTTCAACAAATCCCACATCAACCAGGGTGGTCTTGCAGTGGGCACAGTTGAATTCCTCTGGATGCCAAGAACGACCCATCGCCACCAGGAAAGGGCCCCTATAAAATTGTTTCAGTAATAAATATCATAAAAGATGCTACTAACAAGATACAGCTATCTGGCAAAATCATATGAATTTTAAATCTCTGTGGCTTCTCTCAGCAAATCTTGGGAATTAGTTTGAGAAAGTTCGGAGAACTTTCTTTAAGAGAAGCAGGTTTGCTTGTTGAAGACTCTTCAAATAAAAGAGCATCGAATTGCTAAACACACTAAAGGCACCAGATCCTAAAGGCTCATTTATTTTTACTTATTTATTTCGGGTACTTTTACCCCACCCTTCTCTACCCCTAAAGGAGGACTCAGGGCGGCTTACAAAAAAGGCACAATTCGATGCCTATACAAATTACACATAATATACAAAACCATAGTTAAAAGCAGTTATCACAGTTAACACAATCAACAACCAGTACATAACACATCATATTAAAACTATTCTCGTGATCAGCGTTCGTCTTTCAGAGTTCCATAGATCTAATCCATTAATCATTTCCTAATCATCATCAAAGTTCTTTCTTTATCTGCCCGCTTGTCCGAATGCCTGGTCCCAGATCCATGTCTTTAGTTTTTTCCTAAAGGAAAGGAGCGATGTTGCAGATCTAATTTCCCCGGGGAGTGAATTCCCCAGGTGGGGGGCCACCACCGAGAAGGCCCTGCTCCTCGTCCCCACCACTCTCATTTGTGATAGAGGCGGGGTTTATTTATTTATTTACTTTGCTTATATACCGCTGTATCTCAAGCCCGAAGGCGACTCACAGGTTGAGAGCAGGGCCTCCCCAGAAGATCTTAAACTCCGGGGTGGGACGTAGAGGGAGATCCGTTCGGACAGATACACTGGGGCGGAACTGTATAGGGTTTTGTAGGTCAAAACCAGCACTTTGAATTATTGTGCTCGGAACTGGATCGCTCAGCCCTTGTTTGTACTTGGATAGGAGACCACCAATGAATATTAAGTGCTGTAGGCTATATTTCAGAAAAAGAACTGGCAAAACCACCTTTTGAGTATAATAATAATAATAATAATAATAATAATAATAATAATAATAATCCTTTATTTATACCCCGCTACCATCTCCCGAAGGACTCGGTGCGGCTTACAAGAGGCCGAGCCCAAATACATCAGTAAAACACAACAACAACAATACAATAATAATAATAATAAAACTCATAAACAAAGCAAAAACATTAACAATAACACCGCAGCGCATTAAAACCTGTGGCAGGGCCAAATGTAATACTTAAAATCTTTAAAAGTGCTGGGCATGATCAGGTGAAATAGGCTAGATATTTTAGGGATAGGTGGGGCTTGCAGGCAATTCTAGATCTCTAGTAAAGTGCATTTACTAGATCTCTAGTAAAGTGCATATTGCTTGGAATTTCCTTATTCTGGGAAGGCACCCTGGAACAGCCACGTTTTTAAGCTCCTTCTAAAGACTGCCAACGTTGGGGCATGCCTGATGTCCTTGGGGAGTGAGTTCCAGAGTCGAGGGGCCACCACTGAGAAGGCCCTGTCCCTCGTCCCCACCAATCGTGCTTGCGATGCAGGTGGGATCGTGAGCAGGGCCTCTTCAGATGATCGAAGAGATTGTGTGGGTTCGTATGCAGAGATGCGGTCACGCAGGTAGGTGGGCCCCAAACCGTTTAGGGCTTTGTAGGTAAGTACCTGCACCTTGAATTGGGCCCAGAAAATGAACGGCAGCCAATGGAGCTCCTTAAACAGGAGGATTGACCTCTCCCTGTAAGGAGCACCAGTTAGTATTCCTTGCCTAAGAAAATTGCAGAAATTAATGTGGTTGCCATGAGTTGACAAGTGACTCGAAAGCACATACACACACAACGTGGCTTCAAAACAGGGCATTCACTTTAATGGACCAAAGTCTACATCACCAGAGACACAATTCCTCTGTGCATGTTTTTGTACAAACATACAGGTGGCATTTATATTTGTACACAAACAGGGGTATAGAAATGGAAATGTCAACAGGGACACCAATGATATCCAGATTATTTCACCACTGTCTATGGATGCTTTGAGAATTTGTTATGCATTATTTTGTATGTTTAAATCTTTAACTGAATAATCCTAGCTGCATCTTTTGTAAGACCAACTCACTCCATTATTTACAATTCTTCAGACTTCATTCTGTCCTGGGGTGGGATGATTTTTTTTTAATTCCCCTACCTGTGGAGCAGGCATGTAGCCGGGGGGGGGGGGGGCGGGGAGCTCCCCTCCCCCCCCCATGAAATTCTCATTGTGGTCCACGAGAAGGCCTTACTGGTACATTATTTAAACTGTTATGTTTATTCATATCATGATCTGATCACCATGCTCAATATATCCCATATGCATGGGGCTATTGGGGTAACAATACAAAAGGTTTGCTAGGGTAGACCCTCTTTCACTCAGACTTAGCCCCCCCCGAACCAAACTCAGCACCCCCCCCCAAAAAAAACAAAATCCTAGCTACGGGCCTGCTGTGGAGAGTCCCATATGGCCGTACCTGATTATGCTATTACAGTGTCCACAGAGTGGAGTCCGGCTGCTGGCTGGGAAGCGCTCAGCCCTTTGAATGGTGCCTCGGGCCACAGCAGGTGCCTGAGAGGAGGCTGGAATCGAAGGAGGTGGATAAGCTGGAGCAGAAGCAGTGGGCAGAGGGACTGGAGCGCCCCGTGGCAAGATATTCTTAGTGATGGTGGTGGTACTTTTCCCAGGAGCAAACTTCTGGGAGAAAGAGTCATCCGTGATCCAAGGAGGACGGCTGGAGGGCTCCACTTGGCTTGGAGTATAAGTATGTACAGACACTGATGCTGGGGCAGGAGCCGGAGCTGGAGCCGGGGCCGGAGCTGTAGTAAGGAAAGAAAATTCTCATTTAATGCCTTTATTTTTACTATTGGAAACTAGGCCTGGGTAACAACGGAAAAATTTGTTTCTAAAATCGATTCGTTTTTTGGGGTTTTTTTGCGTTTCGTTATTTAAAATAATTACAAAATTTTCCTTTTAAAAAGTTCGATATTTACGAAATTTCGTAAATGGAAAAAAATTAACGAAACAATAACGAAACAATAACGAATCGATTCGTTAATGGCGGCTGCAATCGCGAAATACGCTAAAAAAACTTCTGAAGCTTCCCTCTCCCTCTGTTGTTGACTGTTGGTGTGATATTATAATTTTTTTTCACTAATTAAACAAAAAACAACTATAAAACTTGCCCCAGACATGCGGAAATAATAACGAAACGACCTCAAACCAATAACGAAACGAATACATAACGAAATACGAAGCATTTACGAAACGACTTGAAAAATTCATTTCATTTTTAAGTTGCTCCAGAATGGTTCGTTATCGCTTCGTTAACAAAAAAAAATAACGAATTTTTAACGAATTATGAATTAACGAAACGAAACCGCCCAGCCCTATTGGAAACCATAGTTGTTTACCAGCACCAAATTTGGACACGATACACCTAACAACCCAATGTATGTCCTTACTCAAAAATTGATTTTGTCATTTGGGAGTTGTACTTGCTGGGATTTATAGTTCACCTACAATCAAAAAGCATTCTGAACCCCATCAACGATGGAATTGAACCTAACTTGACTCAGTTCTCCCATGACCAACAGAAAATACTGGAAGGGTTTGGTGGGCAGTGTCCTTTGGTTTTGGAGTTGTAGTTCACCTACATCCAGAGATCACTGTGGACTCAAACAATGATGGATCTGGACCAAACTCTACACGAATACTCAATATGCCCAAATGTGAACACTGGTGGAGTTTGAGGAAAATAGAATCTTGACATTTGGGAGTTGTAGTTTCTGGGAGTTATAGTTCACTTACAATCACAGAGCATTCTGAACCCCACCAATGGTAGAATTGGGCCAAACCTCCCACACAGAACCCCCATGAGGGCCATAGCAGAGAACTCCCATGTGGGCCACAGCAACGCGTGGCAGGGGACGGCTAGTAAATAAATAAAGATGATGATGATGACGATAATAATAATCAAATCAAATGCTAGAGCAAATCCAAGAATATCAGATAATCCCATCTTGAGAACAAACTGAACTATAAAAGCTACTGTCCAGCTTCTGTTGTTCCAGTTTTTGTCAAGGCTGGCAACAAGAACACAGTAACATTAAGGTTTTTAGGGATGAGAATTATCCATATAACATAGGTAAGACATCAGACAGGCCCCAACATTGGCAGTCTTTAGAAGGAGCTTGAAAACCTGGATGTTCCGGTGTGCCTTCCCAGAATAAGGGATCCTAAGCAATATGTCCTCAATGCACTTTATGAGAGATTTAGAACTGTCTGCAGGTCCACCTTTCCCAGAACATTCCTCCTATTCCCTTAAACTTCCCAGCTTTTAACTTTTAAAACTTTTACATTTGGCCCGCCTCATGTTTTAAAATGTGTTGTGTTATTATTGTATTGTTTTTACTTTTTATGAGTTATTTACTGTTTTGTTGTTGTTTTATGATGTTGTTGGGCTTGGCCTCTTGTAAGCTGCACCGCGTCCTGTGGGAGATGGTAGCGGGCAGGGCCGTAGCCAGAAAAAAATTTCGAGAGGGGTTGAAACTTTCGGGGGGGGGGGGTTGGAAAATTTTGCGGGGGGGGGGGTTGAAACCTGCCTCCTAGCTCACGCTGAAGCAAAGAGCACAGCAGGGGCAGAGCAGCCTTCAATAGCCTGCAGCTCCGCCCCTGTCAACCACCTCCACCAAGTCTGGCCTCCTTAATGAGAGCATTCAACATCCCCCCCCACACCCAACTTGGTTGCTTCACTACATCAGATATTGCTGCAAGTAATGACAGTGTGAATAAATTGTCAATATTTGCTTGAGATAGTGCTTGCAGTTCTGGAGGGACTCTTAATTTTTTGCATCTCATAGATTTAGCATGGGGATTTGGTTAACCAGTTCAAATTCATGAGTAAACCAGGTTTTTTTAAAAAAATCTGAAACATTTCGGGGGGGGGGTTGAACCCCTAAAACCACCCCCTCGCTACAGGCCTGGTAGCGGGGTATAAGAACAATAAATAAATAATGTCAGCCTTCCTGAAATGGCTGTGACGGCTGACATGTTTCAGTCATGCACAGGCCCGTAGCCAGGATTTCGTTTTGGGGGGGGGGGGTGAATTTTTTTCAGGGGGGGGTTCGGGGGGGGGGCTGAGTCTCTGTGGGGGGCTGAGTCTGAGTGAAAGAGGGTCTACCCTAGCAAACCTTTTGTATCATTACCCCAATACCCCCATGCTTATGGTGCCGATTTGCTACCGGGCCCAATTTAAGGTGCTGGTGTTATCCTACAAAGCCCTAAACGGTTCCGGCCCAAAATACCTTTCGGACCGCATCTTGGCCTATGAGCCCACGAGGACCTTGAGATCGTCTGGGGAGGCCCTTCTCTCGATCCCGCCTGCTTCACAGGCACGTCTGGCGGGGACGAGAGAAAGGGCCTTCTTGGTGGTGGCCCCCCGGCTGTGGAACACCCTCCCTGTTGACATCAGACAGGCGCCCTCCCTTATGGCTTTCCGTAAGAGCCTAAAGACCTGGCTTTTTGAGAAGGCATTTAACTGAGTGCTATATTAGCTGGTAATGACAATTGGAACGGATATGGACTATGAGATTGGTTATGATTCTATGTTGTGACGATGCGGATTAGTTAGTGTAATTTAGATTAGTGTGTAATTTGATATGTTGATTTTTGTTGTACTTTGTAAACTGTTTTTATATGTTGTACACCGCCGCGAGTCGCCCTAGGGCTGAGAGCGGCGGTCAACAAATGAATCAAATAAATAAATAAATAAATAAATAATAAATAAGCATGAATTTTTAGTTGTGTGATCAGATCATGATATGAATAAACATAACAGTTTAAATAATGCACCAGTAAGGCCTTTTCGCGAACCACCATGAGAATTTTTGGGGGGGGGCTGAAGCCCCCCGAGCCCCCCCCCCCCGGCTACATGCCTGGTCATGCATGTATTCAAATGCTTCCCCTTTCCCTCCTGTGTTTAGAACATACAGTAGTGGCAATCGATAGAAAGAAACCTTGGGTCATAAAAAATCTAACAAACATCTGTGTACCTTTGTGTGCATTTGAGAATTAGCAACTGCAAAGGAGTGTTGGTGGCTTCATCTCAGTTTGTTTTCCCCCTCTTCTCTTAAGTGAGGATAAGATTTATCTCCTGTCATAACCAACCCATGAATTTTTCCAGAAAGAAACGTGCCAGGGCAAATCCCCCCAGCCAGGCAGGCTTTCCGTTTGCATAGTGCATGCCTTGCACAGTTCTTTCAAGCCCAGGACAGCTGCAGGGACTCCCTTCTGGAATGGCAAATATTTTGTCTCCATTATTACACTGCTTCCTGACTCTCCTCCCCCTACCCACCATAATATCCCTTTACTTCTATTAAAAGCTCCAGGGCTTGCCTTTCTTCCTCTGACTTGTTCCAAGGTCCCCTTCGAAGAGAGCGTATTCACTACCAGCCTTAGACTTACTGGGATCTGATCTGGTGGTAGCAATTACAGAACCTTAGACTTCTTTTGACAGAACAGCGGGAGTATTGTTTGGTAGCTTATTGACCTCTCCTTCTCTCAGACCCTTACGTTTTACGGATCCATAGGGCTGCTGTATGATCCCTACGGAAACTCAGCTGCCTTTGGAGAATGCCACCATTGTGCTGGGCTCAGATAGTGTGCTGCTCAACCATCTTTAGAATACCACAGCTGTTACACTCTGGGTAAAGTAGCCACTGGCATTTAACCCATTGCAGAAACCAAGCCATTAGGGACCTTTCTTCCCTTTCCAACTTTTCCAATAGTTCTACTTATGCAATGGTCAGAGTGCCTTTTCTTCACCTAAGGTACAATTTAATTACTGGAGTCAAATCTATATAAATAAAAATGTTCTGTTCATTTGTGGGATCAACATAATTCAAAAACCACTGGACGAACTGACATGAAATTTGGACACTATACCCCTAACAGACCAATGAGTGACCATCACTAGTAACCCCCCAAAACAGCAAAAAGGACTTAAAAACCCCAAAAAGCTAAATGACAAAAAGCTAAATGACAATACAGAAAAAAGGGAAGGAAGAAGGAGGGAAAGAAGGGGAGAAAGAAAAAAAGAGAGAAAGAAACATGGAGGGAAATAAAGAAGGAAAGAGAGAAGGAAGGAAAGAGGTAGAGAAGGAAGAAAGGAGAAAAAGGGGAAGGGAAGGAAAAAAGGGGGAGGGAAGGAAAGAGATAGAGAAGACAGTCAGGAGAGAAGGAAAAAGGAAGGAAGAGAAGGAAGGGAAGGAAGGAAGGGAAGGAGGAAGAGGGAGCGAAGGAAGGAGGGAAAGGAGAGAAAGAGGGAGGGAAGAGAGGATGGAAGCAAAAAACAAGGAAGGAAGGAAGGAGGGAGGAAGAAAGGAGGGAAAGAGAGAAAGAGGAGGAAGGAAGAGAGGATGGAAGCAAAAAACAAAGGAAGGAAGGAAGGAAGAAAGGAAGGAAGGAAAGGAGGAAGGAAGGAAGGAAGAAGGAAAGAGAAAAGAAAAAGGGGGAGAAAGGTAGAGAAGAAGGAAGGAGAGAAGGAAAGAAAAAAAGGGAAGGAAGGAAAGAAGGAGCGAACGAAGGAGGGAAAGAAGGAAAGAAAGAGGGAGGGACGGTTGCCCACAGCAACGAGTGGAAGGTACCGCTACTAAATGATAAAGAATAAGTTTGTATGTTTGTATGTGTGCCATTTTGTCCTTTCTTTCATGCAGCAAACTGTCCTGGAACAGTCCCAAACGCTCTATGTAAGGAGAAAGTATAATATCCGAAGAGCATATAGTAAAGGTAAAGGTTTTCCCTTGACGTTAAATCCAGT